CAACAGAACAAAGACCTTTCTCTCTGTCTCTCTCTCTAACTCTGCCTGTCAAAAAAAAAAAAAAAAAAAACTTCTACTAAATAAATTTATTATACTTTTTTTAAAGATTTTATTCATGAATTTGAGAGGTAAAGTTACAGACAGTGAGATGGAGAAACAGAGAGAGAGGTCTTACATCTGCTGGCTGCAATGGCCAGAGCTGGGCCAATTGGAAGCCAGGAGACATGAGTTTCTTCCAGGTCTCCCATGCAGGTGCAGGGCCCAAGCACTTAGGCCATCCTCCACTGCACTCCCGGGCCACAGCAGAGAGCTGGACTGGAAGAGGAACAACCGGGACTGGAACCGGCGCCCATATGGGATGCATGCACTGGCCCCTAAATTTGTTTTTGCTGACCTCTCTTTTGTTATAGGAGTGTCAGCCGTGTCTGTTACAATGATATCATACCTATCATTCCCTCCAGAACAAAGAGACAGAAGCCTAGCTGGAGATATTTCAGTCAATGCTGGCATTAATAGAAAAATTAGCGAGCTCCTGGCACTGAAATTCTAGGAGCTGCTTTTATTCAGCCCTTCCTGACATCTGGCTGTTGAGGGCCTCCTCGAAGATTTAGGAGTGACCCTAGATTCTTCCCACAAATGTCTTTTTTTATAAACCTGAGATGAATTTCTACTTGCTTTCAAGCCAAAAAAAAAGACCTAAAAAATGATTATCTCCAATTTACACATAAGATCAAAGTTCTATACAGAGCTTAAATCAATCAAGTAAAGTTCAAAACATATAGAATTTAATAATGTATAATTAGGAATACACATATGTAATAATATAATTAAAAAATAAGACTCCAAAATTTACTGGAGTGTTTACATGAGGACAGGGGACATGGAAATGAGGACAAGAACTAGATTATCATTATTAAAGAAAGGCACTGGTAATGTTCTGTTAATGTAGGGGATGAGGTCGAGTGGCATGTGTTGTATTAATCATGGATATGAGTATTTGTACACATGTGCATTTGTGTGTGTTATTTGTATGGAATATTTCATAATAAAATAGTTGTAAGTGAAAAGAAATCTAAGTTTCAAGGATGTTTCGCGATTCATGAAAAAATATTACCTGTCAATCAAGAGTAGAACCCAGGCTTCTGAATTCCACTCCAGTGCTCTCTCCACTGTGCCACAATTTATTGTTAACTAGGAGGTAGTGCTCCCGTCATGTGGAAAATGGTACGCAGCAAATCAGGTCTTTTCTACGGAACTCAGGGCAAAAAGGAAATGAGCACCAGGAACCCACCCTTACTCTTAAAGAGGATTAAAGTGGGCTTTCTTTCCTTGAAAGACTCAGAGAGTTGGAAAAACCTTAGACACACACATCAGTTGATTGTGTACAGTTTGTAGATGATTCCCCTTCATGAAAACGAGCCAGAGTTTTCTGTTGGGAATATTTCTCCGACCTCTTAATTCCTTAGTACTTTCTCACCCTTCAGACCACTTTTGGTAGCTGTAATTTTCCTTGATACTTTAGGATGCAATTTGTCTGAACTGGGGCATAATGAATAGCTCAGGGCTTACTGACCAATTCCTTGAGTAGCTTGGGTTTCAGTTCTTTGCAAACACTGTTATCGAGTTGTATTACTTGGTTGGCAGAGCAACAAACTAAGCATCACCAAGTGTGAGTTCTAGGTCTACCTCTGTCATTAGTAACTATGGGCAAGTCTTTGGCTCTCAGTCTGATTTTCAGCACCTAACAAAAAAGAACAACACTACCTGTTCTGCTTACTTCTTGGAGTTGCCAAAAGGTTCCAATGAGATGTTTTATGCAACAAGGTTTTGTAAAATGCAAAGCATTACATGAATATAAAGCATGAGTGTGCCCTGTGTTCTGAGTAATAGGTCATTACTTTTAGTGTAAAAGAGAACTGGGTTGGATCCAGCATACTTCCACGTGGCCAACTCCAAGTAAGCTCAGGCTCTCTCCTGCTCCTGTCAGACTCTCCGCTTTCGTGTCAACCTCTGTACATTTGACCCATTTCACAGTCTACTTCCTGGCCTGCTGCTGATCTCCTGGGCCCCTACTCTGAGATGTATTTTCTGGCTCTAGTCTGAAGTTCTCCCCCCAAAGCTGACTGTGAATATTGATTCCAGCAGGCGGGAGGTGAACTGAAGCCACAAGCCAGCCTGCATGAGAAATGAGGGGCTTCTCCTATAGACCCTTCTTGGACCATGTCTTTTTTTAATTTTTTCACCTTGAGCAGGATATGTTTTGAAAAGTGCTTTCCATTACCCAACAATAAGTCGTGATGACAACTTTCAAAAGCAAAGCCTGGGAAGAGTCACACTGGGAAAAGGTATGAGTTTTCTCTGGCTGTGTTGTTTTCTGTATCAATGATGAGGGAATTCTCATAAGGCAAAATCACTGGGCAATGTTTCCTGAGCTCCAACCACTATTTTTTTCTCTAGGAAAACTGAGTGGAAATAAGTTAGTGTTGATTCCCCTCTTTTGCCTGGGGCAAATATTTCACTAGCAACTGGCAAAGGGCTGCTTTTACTCTCTGACAAACACTCTCTCAGAATCTTCTTTGACATCAAAGGTTTTGCTCTATGTCCACTAGAGCTAACAAAAGACATCTTCTACGGGGCAAACATTAGGCACAGCAGTGAAGGTGATGCTTGAGACATCCACAGCCCATATCCGATTCCTGGCTTTGAATTCGTGCTCCACTTCCGACTCCAGCTTCTTGCTAACGCACACCCTAGCAGGCCTCAGGTGATGGTTCAGGTACTTGGCTCCCTGCTACCAATATGGAAGACCTGAACTGAGTTCCTGTCTCCTGGCTTCCGCCTGACCCAACCCCAGGTGTTGCAGGCATTTGAGGAGTGAAACCAAGAAATGAGAAATCGCTCTGCCTCTCTTTATCTCCGTGTGTGTGTGTGTGTGTGTGTGTGTGATGTATGTATGTATGTAAGTGTGCTGCCTTTTTTAAAGATTTTATTTATTTATCTGAGAGTTAGAGTTACAGACATTGAGAGGGAGAGACAGAGAGAAAGGTCTTCCGTCCGTTGGTTCACTCCCCTATGGCCGCATCAGTCGGAGAAGCCAGGAGCCAGGTTCTTCCTCCTGATCTCCCACACGGGTGCAGGGGCCCAAGCACTTGGGCCATCCTCCACTACCCTCCTAGACCACAGCAGAGAGCTGGATTGGAAATGGAGCAGCAGGGACTAGAACCGGCGCCCATATGGGATGCCGGCGCCGCAGGCAGAGGATCAACCTACTGCGCCACAGTGCCGGCCCCCGTGTGCTGCCTTTCAAATAAATAGATAATTTTTAAAACAGCTTCTTGTAGGCCTTGAGAGAAAGTCTGCAATCAGAGGAAGCCAAGGGGACTGCTAGGAGGATAAAGTCATGGTACTCTACATGGGAGTGGACGGTGGAATATGTGAATTGTAAAACAGCAGAGTGAGGATGAGGCAAAACCTGCTCTGGTTTTTAGTTATTTGGTTCTGGAAGCCGCAGAGTCAGTTGGATTCCACCAGCTAAATGAGAAAGCGAAGGCAGCCCTGGATGAAGCAAGTGCGGGGCAGACTGCTGACAAGTCTTCCCGCACACGGGAGGCCTCGGGGCTGCCGCAGAGTGCACTTCTCCCAGGCTCCTGGTACAGCACCAGCCCTCCAGCTGCCGGCAGCTGTGTGCCTGCCAGCTCCTCACAGCTGGCTTGTCACATAGAAAAGGCCTCTCTCTAAAACAGTTTCCCAGAAGAGATGGCTCCCATCTTACAGTGTGCTACAACACAACTGTAAAAGCGCCGACGAAACGAAACACGTCGTGATATGGAACGAACATCAAGGTGTGGTTGACCCCAGGCATGCCATACAGTACAGGTCTTTGCTGGAGGAGAGGCAGAGGTTTTCCTTCATTCCTTCCAGTCTTCTACCTTCTACTCACGCCGCACGGCAGCAGGGTTGGAATTCTGGAAGTGCGTTTTCCCCAGGGGAGCTTGAGCCCTTTCCGGGGCTGTGCTCATTTGTGCGTGTGTGGTGCATGAATGTATGGGTTCCTGAGCCTGTGGAGGAAGGTACTCAGGGCTACACACGCATCTGCAGTTATATGTGTGCATACATAAAGCACGCTTCAGAGTATTTTCCTAATATCAATCACATATATTCTAAAAGCATAGTTCAAGACCGCACTGGAGACGAAAGGTTTTCCTTTTATGATGGAGCTGAGTTTCAAGCTTTTATGAGGTAGACTGAGCTGAGTTCAAGAGAATAATTGAATGAGAAGTCCTGGTGCAAACAACAGTTCCTGCTGTATCCTATTTTCATTTAAATCAGAGGCTGTTGCTTTCATCTGTTCTTAGTGACACACCATTGTGCTACTGAGTTCTGGTTGCTTGGAGGATGAAGCTCACACACCCAGGGGAATCTCACAATGCATAAGCAAGGGGAATTTGTTGTTGTTGTTGTTGTTGTTTTAAAAAATGTTTTAAATGCTATAAACTTCCAACCTGTTTTTCAAAGTTAATGCTAAGCCCATGCTGGGCTGTTTGTTCAGAGCTCAATGATTCTAACAGATGGACGTTGGAGGGCGATTTTGAAATATGCATTTATATTAGCTTTTTCTACTTCTTTTTCCCACTTATTATCCTGGGACCTGAAGCTATGGTTCACTCACCATTTCTCTTGCTCTCTCTTTCCGTCCTCCCTTCCCTCTCTGCCTTTCTTCCTTCCTTCCCAGCCTCTTTCTTACTCTTTTTCTTTCCTCACTTCCGAGCACTGGCTTTTGTCTCATGACACAACCTCCCGTTTGCCAGATGACATAAATTTCAAGCGCTTCTTCTGTTGCTTTGTGAGGCACCTCCTTCCAAACTGTGTTTCCCCTCAGACTTAACTCTTTGAAAGGAGCAAAGCTCAGGGGACTGAGAAACCGAGTCATGAGGGGAGAGAAAGACAAAAGATCTCATTTGGCAGACTCATAGACCCCTCCATCCATCCACAAATCTCACCAAAGCCTTTTCAAATCTGGAAATATTTTCATGCAGCTAAGACGGTGGCGTTGTGGAGTTGTTCCTTCCGGCTTTGTTGATCCTCTCCCCTCTCTCACTCCTGCCCCACACCTGTCTTCCTCACTGAGTAGAGAAACAGAGAATCACAAATTAAAAGCAGGAAGTGGATAAGGTAGGAAAGAAGTTGGAAACCCAAGGGGAAACAATGGAACATTTTGAAGTTTGGGGGTCAGGTATGGATCCCAGAAACAAGGTGGTAATATTCTCCTCCCTGCCTTGCAAGCCCTTTGTCTTTCTGAGCTACTGGGGCTGGCTACTCCTGCACGCCAACTGTGAATTCTGTTATCCCTGGTGGAGCCCCAGCTTGGGAGGATTCCACCTACATTCCTTCACTGCCCTGTTGGGGAGGGTCACGGGGGACGCAGGAGAGGGGGCAGGCAGGCCCAGGGGATTGTCGGACATACAACACCATGCTGCCCTGCAAAAATGGCTAGGGTTTTAGCAGATTCATTTTGAAGTTCACCCAAAGTCGCAGAGTTGAAATGCCTGAATTTAATACCACTTCCCCACACCACACACTCAGCCAAGTGTCCTTGGCTTTTCAATAGTCCTAACCTCTTGGCACTATTGAGTCTTGATGTTTTGCATTCAGTTTTCTTAGATGTTTAACCCTCAACTTGCACTTTCCTGGCTTCAACCTCAATAGTTGCTTAAACGGATGCCTTACAGCCTGAATGCCTTCCTCCCCTCCCCCTGCTCGCCTTTCCTCCTTCCTGCCTTTCTTCCTCCCTTTCTCTCTTTCCCATCACTTTTGCTTGCTTGCTTTTTTTCCCACTTTTTTCAGCAGAGAGCAAGAAAGCAGTGGAGCAGCCCCCGGACACAGTGTCGCAAAGGCCAACGTGGTGTGGCCTTTTGCTCTATTTGTTGAAGTAGCTTCAGAAAGCCAGAATTTAATCCTTGTGTTGAGAGTTGTCCCAGTCCTTGGCACTGAACATAGTCTTCAAGCATTCCCATGGAGTAGCAGAAAAGCTTTATTGTCCAGTTGTCCCCTTGCGCCCTTTTGGAGACCTTCTCCTGGGTGTCTCTAGCATGGCCAAGTTCCTTAGTTGACTGCCAGCTAGGACTGGTGTTAGTTTTTTTAAAGTTTAAATGTTTTCCATAGCTGTGCCTCCACTTTTTAACTGTCTTGCAGTTTTATTTCCCCCAGAAAGCCCAGTGGCTCTTCCAAAGTTCACAGTCTTAGTGAAGAGCAAAGCCATAGAAAGCACTTGGCCGGGCACACATATAGGGTACATCTCACTCAAGATAGATAGAATCAGTCAGTGTGATTGAATGGGCAGGTGTGGCTTTACACCTATTTTTCACAAAACTAATTAGTTATGAAGTCATAGAATCAATCCATTGGTTCTCTGTGTGTGTGTGTGTGTGTGTGCGTGATTTTGGTTTTGCCATCATAAAGCTAGAGTTGAAACAGAAACCCCAAGTTGATCTTCCCAGATCTTCAGTCAGAAGCTATTTCATGGGGTTTATCTGTGACTAGCTCCCTACATTCTGCCCTTTATGTGCAATCCTGATAGTAATTATGATTTCACTTATTAGGTATGTGCTACGTATCAGGCAAGGCACTAAGAGTTTTGTACATACTGTCTTATTTAATTTTCTGAATGCTCCTATGAAGCACTATGCTGATCAACTTTTCAGATGAGGAAACTGACATCCAGATAGGCTGTGACACTTGCCTAATGTCCATTACTAGTCACCTATGTCTCCCAGCATTTTGTAATAAGCAGAATGTTCTCTTCCCTACTCTTCTATCCACCACAAAGCACATACAAAAGTATTTCAAAACATTCAAGGAAAATGGAATTAAAAGAAAAGTTTTGGTGCAAACTATTTTGAAATCCATGCACACAAGGGAGTCTTCTAAGAGTTCATGGTGAATGTATATCATTACAAAGCATGAATTTCAAACTTCGTTGCACCAAAATAAACTTATCTTTTAATTTCACTTTTTCCAAGAACATGCATGCTGCATTAATACCAAGGAATGTCCTTTTCCCAGCGGGAAAATTTTAAAACAAAGATCCAGATAGAATCAAGGAGGGGTGTGTTATAATTCCTTCCAAATCTTTGGAGCCGCACAACTTACTCTCACCCTAGACAGAGTGGTGGTAATTCTGCACGAAGCTAAAAGTGAACTATGGATTTCAGATCTTCATTGTCCACTTCAGATCTCATTGCCACGTTGCGGGGCTATGACAGCACATCTATGTAAGCATAAATACAAATATTCACCATTCTCTGCCATCCAAAAATGTTAATTTTCTGTGATTCAAATCATGAACCTCTCTGCTCTATATGAAACAAAAGTGTGTGGATAGGGATGGTAGATTTGCAGAAGCCGGGCTGAGTAAACACTGGGCATTTACTTTGTTCCAAGGCCCCCATACTGACTCCAAATTAGATGGTTTCTTCTCTTTTTTATTTTTATGATTTATTTATTTATTTATCTGAAAGGCAGAGTTACCGAAAGGGAAGGAGAGGCAGAGAAAGAGATCTTCCATCTACTTGTTCATTCCCCAGATGGCTGTAAAGGCTCCAGCTGGGCCAATCTGAAGCCAGGAGCTTCAGCCCCGTCCCCATGTAAACACAGGGGGCCCAAGCACTTGGGCCATCTTCCACTGCTTTCCCAGGAGCATTAGTAGGGAGCTGGATCAGAAGCGGGGAAGCCAGGACTTGAACTAGCACCCATATGGGATGCCAGTGCTGCAGGCAGAGGCTTAATCCACTGTACCACATCACCAGCCCCTAGATGGTTTCTTATACCTAGAAACCCAGATTTCTCTAGAATTTAGTCTCTATCCCTGAAGTTACTATCTCTTTCCACGCACCACTTCACTAGGCAGAACAATGTGACCAAAGAAAACGCAATTCTTCAGTGTTTCAGATTGAATGGAGGAAATCTTGCTATTACAATCTCTACACTATCCCAGTTTGCTGGAAGTTGCTAGGGTATGCCTTAATAATGTCTCATATTTCCATCCCTGGCCCCATTTCTAGCTCCAGCTCAGAAAAATCCGCACACCTAGCTCTCCACATTAGATGAGTGCTCTTGCTGTAACTTACTGTGGTTAACTTGGTTTCATCCAGAGCTATTGAGTTTGTTCATCTCAAACTAAGCAACTCTGTTCCCATTTATTGACAGAGTCTACCAACTACCAGAGTTGAATGTTGAGAACCAACAAGGGTGAAAGAAAAAGGAAAGGCCTCTTTTGTCACACTCAGTTACTTCCAGATTTTTCAAGAAAACAGTCAATACAGACAGTGCCTGTTACTGGAACAAGAGCCAGACACAGAAGAATGGGGAGATAAGGCGGCTGGAATACACAGGAAGCTTCAAGACTAAGAGGCAGGCATGCACACAAAGACAGGATTTATCACCAAGAAAGACACAGGACATAAAGAAAACATGATTTTGATTAAGTAAGTTGTTAAATAAGCTGACTCTTCTGTCTACCCAGAGATGAGTTAAAATAAAGTATGAAGCCAGAGAGACTGCTGGATCAAGCAGCTGACTCCATTACCATTCGGGACTTTTTGAACAAGTCACATTTTCACTGGGAAGAAAACAAAGCAAATGCTACCCCCAAGACATTAAGATTATAGTTTCCCTATTCTCCAGAGAATCCTCCTGGTAGGATCACAACATTACAAGGCTACATTCTCTGACCTCACCTGCCTATCCGCCAGAACTTTTGCTGAGTATTCTCATGGGATTTCTTTGTCATCTGTCCTTTTAACTGCCATTTTCCCTTGGCCTCTGTGTTCCAGAAAGCTGATCGTTGGATTACAGATTGCCCCTGACTTACCTAATAGGTGAGTTCCCTTTTGATCTCAGGACCTACCCCCTTCCCTCTTGATGGTCCACTCCCCTCATCCAATCAATGGCACCAGGCGAGACATCCAAAACAGGTTTCAAAATGAAGCCCAAGGAAAAGAGACAATGGCCTTGAAGGTCATACAAATGAGGAAAGAAATTGAAACAAGAACTGTGATACAAGCCTACCCAAAATGGGATAAAAACAGAGACTGAAAGGGATAGGGAAAGAGAAGCACAAGAGCTTTGAGATCAAGAGGTAGAGGGCTGAATAAAAATTCCAACAACAACAGTTGATTTAACTTCTTCTAAAGCACAAAGAAGACTATTTAAAAGATCTAAACTAGACCACAGAACACTTGTTAGAAGCTTGGGCCTTAGGGACAGGCAGTCCTGGTTTGAATCTCCAGCGTTGTGTCTCACCAGGTAGGTGACCTCAAGATTTCTATACTGTCTGTCAAATGGGAGTAACCACTATATACCTCACTGGAATGTTTTCAGGATTCTATGAGATCATAGCATTAGCACTTATGTAAAACCTACCATGCACTGGGCATTGCTAACTAATGAACTTGCCCAAGACCACACAGTTAGACATGGTAAAAGGGTGATTTGAACCCAGAGATGATTTCGTCCCAGTCTGAGTTCTTACCTATGGTGTCTCTCCAGTCCCAAACCAGGGATTGGTGCACAATAATAATGTTGTAAATATCAGCTGTTGTTTCATTAGTTTTTCTTACACAGAACATAAGAAAAATCTTCTTATCAATAAAGATGATGAGAGGAAAAGATGGGCCTGGAATGCAATACCTGGAGCTCTGAATGTCAGAATAATATTGCCTAGGAGATTTGGGAAAGAACTGTTTTGTTTTCCCTGGAGATGCTTCTGGCTCAGTTTTCTTGGTTTAGCAGCAATGGCTTGTTTTCCCAAGACAAACCCAGAACTCTAAATCTCAATGTGGAATTACAGATTCTCATCTCCCTCTCATTTCATAAACAAGTAAATTGAAGACTCAAATTCATAGTATTTTATTACAGAAGCTTTGTAAACTAGCTACAAAGCTGCTACTTGAACTATAGTCTCTTAATGCCCAGATAATGCTCTGCCTCTTAAATCAATAGGCAACACATACACTGGCTTTTCTGGATTTCAAGATCTCTTCTCCATTGTCTGCTTAAGTGCTGTCCTATTGGCCAGATAAGTGATTTAATTATTGATCTGGAAAATATGGTTACCATGATGATTCATCACATGGAAGACAGCGCCGGAGCTTCCCTCTGTTTGCTTCTAATGGGCTTGGGGTGAGGAGTGGGGAGAGGGTGGCTTAAATCCAAATGTCCCAAATTACCTACCACAGTCCCCTTGGTCCTCCATGGTCGTCCTCCATGGTCCTGAGGTTTGCAGACCTGTTTGCTCATGAGGAGATCCAAAAGCTCCCACTGAATTTAGTTGTTAAAATGCTCTAGGAGGAGGACTTGAAACATTGAAATCAGGGACCTCCTTCTACTACCCCGAAAATATCCTTTGCCTTTAAGGGACTGTTTTAAAAAGCTCACGAGTTTTCTCTGTTCCTCCTTAATAAAGTTCCCCAGCAGCGGCAGCGGCGTTCCCCTCCCTTATTTGAGATCTGTGCAGTCTCATTAAATTTGATGTGTCACAGAGGGCTCGGCTATGTGAAAGGCAGGCTGTGGGAGCAGGACTGGAGGTTGCCAGCTTTGCTAAGGAAACGTAATTCATTACGGCTTTTCAAAATGGACGCCCCTCTGGCTTCCTGCTCCATTGATTTTTTCCCCCCTTTGCAAGTAACAAGTGAAGGGCCAGCTCAGCCTGCAGATTTAACCCTTATTAACAGCTGTTTAAATTAGAGATGCGGTTTGATGGAGAGACGCGAGCCTTCTTATATCCCCACTCAAAGGAAACCGAGAAGAGACGATTAAAGATGAAAGCGCGCAGCCTCTGGTGCGAGCCTGGCGAGACGGCATCCACCCCCGTCCGAGGAGGGGCTAACACTGCTATTAAGTAGTTTATCCAAATAATGTGCTCCTACTTTTCCCCGATTAAATATTCATGACATTTCCCCCCCTACACACACACACACACTGCGGCTCCAAACAGTAGGGCAAGAACGGCCGCCCGACCCAAGTCCATGAGACTGTGCACCAAGCCCATGAGACTATGCACGGTGGTCAGCGCAGGAAGCTCGACCCGGAACCACTAGAGGCTTCCGCGACCTTGGAGTGGACATGCGTATTCCCCGGGTGCTCCTGAATGGAGGCCCCAGGACTAGAGGACGCCATGCACCATGCAGTTTCGCCTCCGTCTGTGGGACCAGTGAGTGCAGAGACCCCCTCACCCCCACCCCCACCCCAAACTGATCAGAAGCAGAGTAGCAAGGTCAAGGCCAGCCCCAGGATGGAGAAGGAGCAGCCAGCCCCGCACAGCCCAGACAGCTCTTCCCAGCCTTTGTTCCCCTGTCACAGTGGAACCTAACATCTCAGATCCCTTAGGCCTCGCCCCAGTAGGTTTTGGGGGGATTGATGGTGTTGTTCCTGTGAGTTTTGCCCCTTAAAAGCATAGTGTGGGCGTCACGGCGAAGACAAGAGAACTAGTTGCCCGTTGCAAGAGTGCATCGCGGCCGAACGACCCCTGTGCAGAATGAGCGGAGGGGTGTGCCCCCTTCAGATAGCAAAGCCCACCGTGTTGCTCCCCCTTGCTTCCATGAATGCATAAAAATAAGCGCAGAATCAGGGCTCCAGCCTCTGAAAATGCACACACAGACGCTGTTCTAAGAGGGGAAGCCATCACGGCGGCGCCCTCATGCTCCTACTCTGTAACTGTATTTTCCTGACTCGCAGCATCTACTTCAAGGAATCTAAGAGAGAAACATTCGGTGACAGAAACAAAATAAGACAGGCCTAAGTAAATCATGCGTTGACAGCACCAGCATTTACATATTAAGTGAAGGGATGTCAGCTCACTGGCTTCTAATTTTATTTTCAACTGAAGTGAAAGGTTTTTTTCTTGAGTCAAAACTGTAGCAATTCATATGATAAAAACCTTAGTACACCTTCCACAAGGAGTTTTTACTCTACAGGAATAACACTCCCCCCTCCTCCAAGTTCCCAAGATAGGAAAAAAAAAAAATACATGCGAAGCATGACTATGATCTTCCCTACCTTCTCATTCCATTTTAGTGAGTTTTTCTTAAGTTGTGTTTTTTCTCTTTTTGGTTGGGGCGGGGGGGGGGGTACTCAAAGTGTACACAGTTTATTATAAATGGGATTTTCTTCATACTGTTTTGAAACAATATTTTAAAGTATTCACACTGTCAGAGGGAGTTATTGCCTGCTTGTCTTTATCAAGGAGAGGCGAGCATTGGAAATAAGGGTCTTTCACTTTTTTATAACTATAATCGACACCATCAGGGAAATGCACAAAGATGAAGCGATGGGGAAATAAACCATACATTTCCAATGTACATCCCATCGAGGGGCAGATTAAGGGAGCTGCCAAGAACTTTCAGGTTCAGAACAAGCGTCCAAGCACGATGCAGTCTTGGCACAAGGCTTTTCCTCTTAATTTCAAACTCACGCATATGTATGGGGAAATGTAATCCGTTTTTTCTGAGAAGCTTTCCCTTTCCGGAACATTCAAGTCCTGTTTTACAAGCACGTACAGCATCAAAAAAAAGGGGGAGGGGGCTAATTATATGGAGGAAACTTTCTTGCCAAACAAGGAAATTGTTTCTTCAGCAGTTAGAAGTAAAGTGTTTGAGGTGAGCAATTCAGGAGGGACCACAACTACACCCTGTGCTCTACACAAGGAAGGAGCTGTGTGACCCCTAGAAAAGTGTAGAATGATAAAGGTTTACAAAAAAAAAGGGACTGAAAGATAAGATTGTTTTGGTTCAAAAAGTTTTGAAATCCGTATACTGGTTTTTCAAGGTATGAATTTTCCATGAACTTTTGAAGATTCTTCGTATGCATGAATGCCCAAATGCTTTGTATGAAAATAGAATTATCTTTTAATTATATTTCTCTGTTTGAAGTATCCTCATATGTGTTGTCTCATTCACACTTTGCAACCGTCCTATGAGATCAATTATCCTTTTTCTTTCCTTTTTTTTATTTTTCTTTCATGTACAGATGAAGACATTAAGGACCAGATGAGTTCAATAACCTTTTCAAGGTCTAAGTAGCTAAACTGGGACTAGGCTCACAATGTACCTAATTTTAAAGCCACTTTCTTTCTACTCCACACACCATCTCCAATTGCAATGGTCTTTAGAAACTATAGAATCAAATGCCACCAAAATCACAAAGAAAAAAGAATGTTTATTCTTAGCTCAGTCATTTTTGGTCATAGCAAATTGACCAGCGTTGTGTCCATTAGTCTACCCATTAGACTTATGAGTCTAGTGTTCCTGTTCCACTTCTTGACCCCAAGCCATACCATATACAATCAAATAAAAGTTACACCATGCAACAAGACATACAAGGAAATCAGTGTACTGATCAATTATCTTAACAAATATTTACTTGTGCTTACTATCCTAAACAGTCCTCAGGGAAAAAAAAAAAATGCAGGTCTGTGCCCACAACCCTCTCTGCCGTTTCAGATGCTGAGAAGACGTTATCAGAACAAAAACAGACGTAGTCATTACACTGAGAGGTGATCCAGATTCCCTCTGTAAAGCAGAATGACTAGGCAGCAGTCTCCTTCCCTGATGACAAACACAGGTCTTCATCTTCAACTTCAACATCAGACTCAATCTTCCTCAGCCCCTGTATCCCTACTTCCAGCCTCAACACAGACCTTACACACCTTGGCTTCTTCCCCCTTCTTTCTCATTCATTTAGCCCCACTTGCATCCAAACCAAGTTTCCATCACCGTCCTTCATATCCATCCCATCTTCTCAACTAGCCCCTTCTTTAGTACCCCATGGAATCCTACTCTGTTTAATGAATAAATCCCAGATACCCTCACGCCCTTACATAAGCATTCTTTCCACCTCACTGTCTAAGTGGAAACATGGATTTCCCTTAATTATACAACAGCTCTCAAACTCCTTTCACAAAGAAACTATTTTTTCTTCCCCAGCTCATGGCTGATTACACTTCCTCTCAAATTCTCTTGCTGAGCTCTGTTCTGCAGCAATGGCACAAGAACCTGTCTCCTTTGCAACTCTGCCCTCACTCCTTGATGCAGTCTTCTGATCCTTGGAGCCTTGAGTACTGGTGCACCTCAGACTTCATCAACAGATCAGCTCATGTGGATGATTAATGACCTCCTTAACAGCAAGAATGTCAGCCTTCCTCTGTTTCTCCTAACAAAGGCCATGGTTCTCAAATCATGTTGATTGGACCAGGAGCATCTTCTAGAAACTTGCTAGAAATGCAAATTCTCAGGCTACACCCTAGACCAGTCAAATCCGAATCCCCAGCAATCCCGGAAACATGAGCTTTAGTAGGCTGTGCAGATGATTCTGATGTTCCAACATTTGTAAACCATTAGTGTTACACTGTGGGTCTTTATCAGTTGGGTCTACTCTAAGATCTCTCAGCATAACTTCCTTGCAATCACTTTTTCTGTTTCCTCACATTGGCTAATATAATATTTTTCATGGCCTGGAAGTCAAGACTCTTCCACCCAGTTTGGTCCCTGCTCAGCTATTTGCATAATTCCACTAAGGCTGCAATTGCCACTTAACTGGTTGCCCCTAAACTTGGACTTTTTGGCAAAAACTATGAAATCGTGCTGACTGAATACAAGCTATTTATCTTTTCTGGCCCTTGCTGATGGTTCATACTTGCATTATTTGTTTATTTTGGATTCTCTAACTTGTTCTTCATAATATTCCCAACATTTATTCACTTTCTTAAAACTAGCATTTCTCACCGAGCTTTATAGATTTAAGAAAGATGGCCTTCACTCTTACTTTTCTTAAAAGAACAAAATCACCCATATGAGTTCCCTCACTTTCCACCTGCAGCTTTCCAATCTCTATAGCTGCTCTTTCTGATTGTGAAGTCGAAATGAACTTCCTCATTTCTTATACTCTGACTCTCCTACCTCATGACCCCGTCAGAATGCTGATCCTCAGGAATGCCAGTGGAATGTAGGGACTCTAGGAAGAGAAGTTCAAGACCATGTCTTGCAGAGAGTGGGCGAGATTGCGAGTGATTAATAGTGTCATGTGTCAGAAATAGATCCCAGATGAGACTGAAGACTTTTTTTTGTTGTGGCCATTAGTAGATAACTGGTTTCAGTAGAGAGGTGAGGAAAGAAAACAGATTATTTGAGGTTAAGATAATAATGTAAAGGGTATAAGGGCATGCATGGCTCACTACTACAAAAAAAAAATTTAGCCATGTGGCAAAAGAAGAGAGTAGAATGATATCTCAAAAGGCTGTGGACAGTGATCCGACTTCCTCCTGCCATCAGTGAGGTCTTTGCTCTATACAAAGGGAAAGCATCTCCGAAGAGAGCTAAGTTAAAGACACTGGAAGATAGGATGAGTGAAGGGAAAAGTCCTATAGTAGAACAAAACTTGATGAACCTATTCAACACTGCTCTTGGTTGCAAGAGGAATGACACCTCATCAACTAACAGACTGAAATAGAACTATATTGGCTCATATAACCAGCAAGAGTAGGAATGCAGTTAGAACTTGCTATAGCCAGAGACTAACCGCTGCCTATACCCAGTGATTCTTCCAGGATCACTGGCTCATCTCTGCTTCTCTCTGTGTATCTTCCATTTTCTTTTCTATGACAACAAAAGACCCATTCCATAAGCTACTCCTGCACAATCTTTCCAGCTTTTTCATCAGAAAAGAAAGGATTTCTCCCCAGTTAACTCCAGTTAAAAGCCATGAGGACTCTGATTTGGCCCAGTCTGTTTTGTGCCCAACCCTAAGGTAGGAAAGAGAGGGAGAAGACAGAATATTCTGATTGATAAATCCCTCTTTGAAAAATGGATGGAGGAGCT